CGCCCATAATGTGCATATGCTTTGCATTACTACGAACTTTAATTCTTTATTATGCAAATTTTGTTCAGTTGATTCCTTCACGATATTAGAGTTTAATATAAAGCAATGTATTCATAAAATAAATAAATTAAGATTAAAATAATATTTTTAACTGAGCAAAAATTCCATATTTGAGAAAATACAAAATTTGCGTCGAGGCCACCATGTTTGTTTACATTATATCAGACTGATTAAAAATTGTGTGCCTTCGTTGTATTCCTTCCTAATTTTGTGCGTTTACTCGTTTTTAGTTTTGTACAATAGAAATTCTCATAGAACAATTCCTAGGAATATAATAGCTATTATATATTGAGTTCATCTGTACATTGCTTTGAATAATGATGTAATCCGTTTCCCTTCTGCATAAATTAACATTGGAAGGTGAAATTATTATTTTGTTTCAGAATGTGTTTGACAAAATAGCATTTCGACTGTTTAGCCATTAATTTTTTCCACTAGCTTTTACAATGAACAATATTGTGTTTCACTCATATTCTGCGCACCAGCAATTCTTTGCTGACAAACCACAGCTGCAGATTGTTTCTTCACAATAAAAATACCAATCATGCCTGCAATGGAAGGTGCGTGCTATCAACATGTGATGGACAGTAGAATTCTGATAATGCGGAATCATTTTATCCTCGAATGCTCTAATCGTTTGCTCAATTCTAAACGTCAACGTACAAATGTTTGATGCTTCAAAAAACTGAACGTCGTAAATTTAATGGCAATTCTTTTGCGTGTAAATAAAAATCCGCTTTTTAACAAAAACGCGCTGTATTTAAACATATTTTCATTTTTAAAAACGCAAATTTATTTTATTCTTAACGCTATTCAGCATTTTCTGTTCTCTCGTTAGAGGTTTCTTTTCTATGATAAACACGGATCGTGAAGCTGTGCAGTTTTTTTTTTTTTTTTTGCTTCAGATAAACTCCTACTTTCGAATGCAAATTTCTGTATCTTTAGGTATCAAATTTGAGTTTATGTGGTTAATGAATTTTGAGAATATGTCAAGAATTAACTTTCATTACATTTGAGTAGTTGCATTCCCACTCAAACTAGAAATGGGCTATTCACTCGTGAACTGATTCGAAGAACCGATTCACTTTAGTTGGCGAGCGAGCGATGATTCGACCAAAAGGAGTGGTAACTGCTGTTAAGTTCACCCACCAAAACTCTTTTTACAATCGTGCCATAAAACTTCATTTTTTATTTTAGGAGACACAGAAATGTTTCTTCTCCTATGTTAAAAGTGAACTTAAATTTTATCATTTACCAAATTTTGAATATTTTGTAATCCAGAATTTATTGTTAGCTCCATACAGAAAGGAAGTTAGGGAATGTCAAAACTACATTTGAAAGGAATGAATGAATGCAGGGAGTGAGGGTTTCGATTGAGTGAATTCTCCCGATCCCATTCCTCATTTGATTCTTTCCGCTTTTCACTCCATCCTTGTACACCGCTCTTGGTTCGCTTCTGCTCTTGATCTTATTTTTCAATTTCATTACTGCTGAGGGGCGAATCTAAAAAGGAAATATTCTGTTAACTGAGCGAACGCTTCTGATCTGATCCCATAAAGAGCGGTTTTGCCTATCTTTAACTCAAAGGTTCCCCGTTGGTAGCTTATTTACATTTAGCGTAAGTCTTGTTACGTAAGCAGCAAATATGATGAGACTCTTAAAAATAGCACTTGCGACGACTTTTCTGCCATTAAAAATTGAAAAATTGACAACAAAAACTTCGCTAAAGAACGGAGATATTATCTTTAATACAACGGCAGAATTAACATGGAAATTGAGTGGAATCCTAATTGATGAAATTTTTCTAAACAGTATTTTTTTAATAATTCATTTAGTTTTTTCTATTTTAAACGTGTAACTATTTCTTCTAAAATCATTTCGCTGATGAATTGTTTTGCATAAAACTCTTCGATGCGATTTTACAAAACAAATTAAAAAATTTCCCATGTTTTGTGTATCTTTTTTGTTTTTCCCTTGTGCTGAAATTTTTTTGTAGGCAATAAAATTATGATGATTTTTTATTCAACAAGTCTTGATTAAGTAATTCTTAAATTATAAGAGTGTTTTAGCGAATGTGTTAATGTAAAAATTTGAAAAAGAAAAGCACTAACAAAGACATGACCCGTAATTCATAAAATGGCCTAGTCTATACAACCCTTGGCTCACCTGCAAGCGTCTGACAAATATTGAGACACTTGAGGTGTATAGATCTTTTCCTATTAGATGCATAGATGTATAGATGTATAGAGGTTTGAAATCTCAACAATAATAATAACGTTAATGTCATCCTCTAGGATGCAAATGCCATGGCCAAATACATTGAAGGTATATTCAATTCCAATAAAGCACCAGCTCCATAACATCCATGGAGATGGACTTACAACCGAAACTATAGTGAGGCTTAGAACTGGCGGTCATCACAGAGGATTGAAAACTGACAGAGAAGGTTGGGAAACCTACAGAAACTGTGATAACTGGCCAGACACAGTGTTATCAACTGCACACATTTTTTATACAGCTTTCCTTGCTGAATTGTTAAAAATGGGTATCTTATTTTAAGAGACTGAACATTTATGATGATAACGTTTTGCAGATTATCGGAGTTGCTATCTTCTCCTATGGCACTATTTAAATAGACATAGACACGACAACAAATAACAGTCATAGACACGACAACAAATAACAGCAACCCTCGGTATGGAATAGTGAAGATTACCAGAATTATACTGATTATTCTTTTAAAAAACTAATGATGGAACATATTTTTTATTTTACTTCTGTGAGAAGGGAAAATAATATAGAGAAACGGCAATAAATGATAAGATTATTTAGAACAGATTTAAGATAGCTGTCAAGTTATTTTTTTCAAGTATTTAACCACTTACTAAATTCGACCGCCTGGATATGCTTATTGCATAAACTTCAAAGGTTCTTTGCATAAAATAGGCTTATTCAGTTAGTTAGTTCTTTGCATAAAATAGCTTTTATCTGAAGCGGAAAACAGCTACAGATAAAATATATTTTGTTGTCCCATTAATAATAGTGTTAGGATATTAATAATTATGTGGAAATATTTCAAATTCATAACTATTAAACTATACTATCAATAACAAATTTATTGTACTGTAGCGAAGGCAAGTGAACAATGTTTTTTATTATATATTTCAGAAATACTGAGTATATCCATCTTTGTTGATACGATGAATATTTAGGGAATACAAGCTTTTCTCTTACAGGCGTGCTAATATATCAACATCGGCCAGGAACACAGAATCCGTGATATGGTTGCGAAATGATTTTTAAGGTTGCAAAGAACATGTAGATGAACAGAGAGTGGATACACAATGATAGCATCCTTGATGAACCTCCAACAAGGAAACGTCGCACCGAACAAGACAGGCTTAAAGATTGATATGGCCATAGCATTAATATGTCACATCCTTGTTTATGTGCGCCCACTCTAATATAGAGACAGATTTTCAATGAGATAGTCTTGGAAATAGTCCCAATCTTTACCGCAAATTTTCGCTCATGTATTCGCGCAAATTTGTCTCCATAATAGCTGCTATGGTAATGAGTGTCTTTCGACAATTTTTTTGTTTAAAGAAATAATCACCTTTGCTTTCATTCAACTGTTTTATCAGCCATCTTTCCAATACATCCGCGAAAATTCTCCGAATGACACTTGTGTATGTCTTCTGTAATTAGGATAGGAAATCTTGGCACCTATCTTGCAGTAACTTTATTTTCAAATGAAGATGTTCAGATAGAATGCTCAAACCAGTTGTTTAAATACATCCAATCATGCTTCCATTTCATTGACTTAATTTCTTCTGTCAATTAATACTTCCTATTGGAATATTTTCTGAAGCTTTGCCTCTAATTAATCGCCCTTAACCAAATTATTTATACATTCTTTCCCTTTCAAAACGTTTTACGCATTCTTTTACTGTAGAATACGACGGTGACGATAACCATACAATTCGAACATTACTTTATTTCTTTAGGAATTAAATCTTCTTTAGACAAAACTTTAAACACCGAACGATTCCAATATTTAAACGTATCAACATAGTAAACTGTTGAAAAAATAATGCATACGATAGAGACATTTTTAAATTTATTTGTTATTTATTTAGTATTACTACACGTCCGCAAGAGAAGTTATTGCCAAAAACGTTTTTTTATATCTGAGACCGAAAATGTTGAGACTTATCTGCATAGTAACAAATTTTGACTGAGATTTTCTCACAAATAATCTTTCCCTTAGAAGGAAATTTAGATAGATATGTTCTCGAAAATGATTTCGATAATAATCAGTGTGGAAGTTAGCCGCACGACTGTGTTAATAAAGGTGATTATCATTATTGTTTTCATTCAACTTTGCCATCAGATAAACTTTCGTGCCTATCTAAATAAATTAGCACGAAGTAGATGTACACCACTGAACAAAAAATAGACATATTGAGCATTTGCGATATATATAACAAGGTAATGAACTTATCCCTGTTTAAGCCAAGAAAATTTATTTCTTAATTTATTTCTTATGAATGTTTAATTTTTTTTTCATGAATATATGAATAACCTTCTACAAAATGACGTAAAAGAAAAAAATGACGTGACAGATTTTGTCTGTAGACCTTATTTTTATTAACTACATTTTCTAAACGTAACTAATGATCTATGATTACAATAGAAATGTCATGCGTAAAACTCAATAGTCTAATCTGTTCACAGTTGAATTATATCATACATATTTGGAATGCAAATATAAGAGTATCTTTTTAGTGGTTGTTATCTAAGGTTATGAAAAAAGGTATTATACAAAACTTTGTACTGAACGTTTATTAGTATCATTGATTTTACATTCCAAAGAATATATAAGAACGCCATCAAAACTTAATAATACTTACTTATAGAGTAATATCTTATAATTACAGGCGACCTAGCTGAAGCTATCAGGAATAAAACTGACATACACTTTGGAGTCTACCATTCTATGTACGAATGGTTCCATCCGCTGTACTTGTTGGACAAGAGTAACAAGTTCAAGACCCAGCATTTTGTTTTCGTAAGTTAACTTGCATTTACAAATCGTTCTAAGAACAGCATTTAAATTTGTGAAAGTGAAGTTATTTTTTTTAAATGCGTCTATAGTTTTTTTATAAGCTTTTGTTTAGCTAGTTTATAATGTTTGTCGGTGTGGTCATTGATTTGTAAACTGCTTCCTGAAAAGCTATCAAGCTCACAATTTACACACACTCGGTTTTTAGATAAAAATACAGTGTTCAAACGATATTTTAAAAATTAGATTTAGATTTTTTAAAATTTTATGGCGAAACAATATTTTGCACATATCTTCGTTTAACGAGCAAGCTAAAAGTATCGGAATTTTATAAAGTACATCATTGGATTGAGAGGAAATAGATATTTTAAATGATATCTACATGAAATTTTTGATATTTTGACGAATTTTTGGAAACCCCTCGATGTTTTCGGCATTTGATCTAAAAGAATTGTTGCCAGTAAAAATATGATAAATCAGAGTTAATTTAAAACTCGTCAAATAATTAATGATTTAAAAGGGAAAAATAATTTATCATCTAATTTAATGGCAACAATAATTCTAATAATTATCTTTCCATAATTCATCTATAATTACTTCCTTGTACGAAGTAAAGGAAGAATTGCAATCTGGAATTATTTTAGCTATCATACTTGAACGGAAATATCCATTTTGACGTTCCCGAGTCCATTTAGACGAATTTTTTTGCGTGTCGACTGTACATACATCCAGAAAAAACGACTATTTTCTCCAAAACGAATTGTAAAATGGATTTAAAAACGGATTTAGAAGAGATTTTTTTCGTGACGTACGTATTTAGCTCAGATAACTGGAAAACAATTAGCCTTAGAACGTTGAAATTTTGTATATGGGACTGTTATAAAATCTAGTTGATCATTACCCTTTTTTCCGGTTAAGTATTTTATGCCTTTCATTAATCTGCATGCAACTGCTGTATGGCGTTCAGTCTAATGAGGCTCCCCTTTGGTTTGCATTTTAAATTCTTTGTAGAATAGCGAATTAAGTCAGCTGTTGCTCTAACTTCTGTGTCTTTTTGGTTTTGGTTTGGTTTATTGAAATTACGACAAAGCACACTAGGGCTATCTGCCTAAGGGGAGAAATGCCTTCGTGGAGGACTTTCGAAAGGAAACTGGCTCGTATACACGTTACACGTCTGTGTCTTTTTGACCAGTGCGGCCAAAAATCAACTTTGAACTCTAACCTCTATCCTTTGTAATCAAGTTTGTGCTCCGAAAATTATGCCTCTGCCGTTCGCGATCGTTGTTTGGCGTCAATTCATGCAAAAGTTTTAAATTGTTTCACTTATTTTTTGGTTTACGAAGTAATTAATATTATAGCAATACGTTCAGCGTGGTGATTCCAGCTAGCAGTCTTCAAGCGATCGCCGAGCAGCCATTGGAAGCCGACGCTTATTAAATTGGATATCATTGGAAAGAGGATTTCCCAAGGAGAATTTTGATGCTAATTACAAGCCCGATGGACAATTAGAACGGGAGTAATTAATTCTTAAATTAAGCGAATTTACAGCCACGTGGTTCCCATGACCCCTGACCTTTCCAACGTTTCAACACCCGTACAACGGTCATCCGCATTCCATTGACCCCCCGTCGAAGTCTTTTCATTCTTCATCTAACAAAGGAAGGAGAAAGGACTGGGACTCCTTGCCTAATTTTGCTAATTAGTCAACTAATTAAAGCAGCTAATTGGAACTAACGGATTCGGATTTCTGAAGTGTCAAGGATCACAGAGACATATCTTTCTTAATTATCGGACGTGTATAACCCGAGATAACAATTTTGTGCTAATTCCGGACTTTGAAATTTGATAACTGCGCGTTATTGTTTATATGCAAAGGTGTGGTGAATATTATGTGCGTGTGCTATTTGTTTGGATTACGTGTATATAGAAGCAGACCAAGACAACAGAGAAGCGATATCGGCCAAGGTAGGCTTTAAGCGCTGATTAAGTAACTAATTAATTTTAATTACAACCTACCTAATCTTAACTTCTGGTAATAATTCTTAACTAGTACTTTAATAATACTGTTACAGACCCAAGTTTGACCTAGGTACTTTTAGACTCTTAATTCTTGTCGTTCAGTTCTCTATTCTAATTAATTACTGTTAATTAACTGACCAAATAACAGTATCCTTATAACAGTTCTGGTACTCTGGCCAAATTTATCAAGTATCTGTTACCATGTATTTATGTGTTTTCAGGCTACAGATTTAAAAGTGTTTCACCGTTGATTAACCGCCTCTAATTAAGCTAATTAACAGTGCTGATTTTGATTATTGTACTTCATACCTATATAACTCTGATTTTTGCATCTTGTATTCACTCAGATTTTACAGTATTTAAGTGACTGTTTACCAGATATTCGGTACTTTAATTTAATTAGTATTAATTGGTCCTATTCAATTAGCAATCCTCAGTTAAATTGTAGTAATTTTCTAACTCTTAGTGCTATTTACATGTTTACTTTGTGTTATGAGTAAATATTTAAGTATACCAGATTGTAATTTCCTGTGAACCAGACAAACTATCACATAGTGTACAATTAGAGTCTCCACGTTGGCATAAATAAGATAATACGTGTAATTACACAAGGTATTTAAGTGCCATTCTTTTTACAAAGTTATTACAGTGCTGAGTGAAACAGTGTTCTTTACAGTGAAAGTGTTTAATGTACTGTGTGTGCTAATTCAGTGATTAAACGTCAATTTACAAGCGTTATTTAGAGTCACATCCAGTGTTACAACGTGAGCTGATAGTGCATAACCACCAGTCTTCAGTTCACGATAAGTGTGTGCTATAGCTCAACGATTGAAGCTTCGTTAGTGCTTATATGTGCAAATTGTGTCAACAACAGTGCTAATAAGTGAATTAATCGTGCCCAGCCCCTAGTCAAAGCGTCGGTAAAGTATAGTGCGTGATTTAGTTCAGTGTTCAAGCAACGTTAGTGCATCTCAGTGAAAGTTATTATACATTTCAGTGCGATACAGTGCATCACAAGTGTAAATACGTGCAAATTGTTCCAATATCAATTTCAGTGTCTTTAAGTGAATGAATAGTGCATGGCCACTAGTTAAGTTTACTAGTTAACCTCAGCTAGAAATATAGTGTTTGTTGCAGTGACCAAGCAACGCTAGGCTTTGTTTCAGTGAAGTTAGTTTTCTCTTCAGTGATTTAAAGTGCGACACTAGTGTCATAGCTATTGTGAATAGTATCGTACAGTGTTTTTAAGTGCATACAACGCTGAAATAAGCGTATTTTAGTGTACACATCAGTGTCAAGAGTGATTTCAATAGTGCATTATACGTGTTACCCAGCGACTCCATAGTGTCAATTTAAAGGATCACGCTTCTACTTGTGACATGACACGCCAGTCCAAGCTCCCAGAGGAAGCCAGTAATTCAACACAGCTTAATTCAGCAGAATTGCTAGAGTCCGATCGGACAACACCAGAAAAGATCGCTGCACTAGCCAACGAGATCCGGAATATCACCGATACAAGCCGAGGAGGTAGATACCTTCTCCCTCAAGATTTAAGGAATAGACTGAAGGACGCATTATCTGTGCTCCAAGGCCTTGCCTTAGAGGGTCCAGAGTATCGCCCCAAACCGCCAGCAATAGAGGCAGGTACCAATACCTCTACTTTTGTTTGCTGTGGTACAGTGCATACTCCCTCTCCATCTGCGCAACAGCCCGCCTGTGAGCAGGCCCCTCCGCAAACAGTAAACAGTACACCGCAAAGCTTTGCAGAGGCCGTGCGCAAGAACAGTAAGCCCAGTCTCGTGATTAAACCAAAGACCAAAAGGCCAACAGACGATTTGCGGAGAGCTCTACAAGACAAGGTCCCTTTGGACAAAATCCCCGTAGCAGTACGGAGAATACAGCCCGCCCCGCAAGGAGGTCTGGAAGTCTATTGTGATACCCCGAAGAAGTTGACAAGTTAAAGGACCATCTTCAAAAAGCAGACATCGATATAGATATACAGAGGAAACAGCGACGTCGACCAAGAATAGCAGTACATAATGTCGGGGAGCATACCAAGCCAGAGGAGCTCATCTCTGAGCTCAGCACGACAGCAGGAATCTCCGCCTGCATTTCAAGATTCTCTTCCGTCTGCGTGAGCGACGCCCACAGAGGGTCAAATGGATCATCGAGTGCTCCACAGAAGGATTTGCTGCAGCAATCAAGACAAAGCGCATATTCACGGCATGGCAGGCGCATGGCATCTCCGAGTTCCTTGGAGTACGAAGATGCTATCGCTGTCAACAGTTTGGACACAGCCAGGACGTGTGCAGGTCCTCCAAGATCTTCTGCGGTTTCTGCTCCGGCGCTCACGCAACCAGAGACTGCACTGGAGACCAACCATCATGCATTAATTGCGGAGACGCAAATTACAGGTTGGGTACCAGATACAATTTCCACCACCCTGCCTATGCAGCAGAATGCGCAATTTATCAACGGGCAGTTGACAACGTCCGTAGCGCAACGGAATACTGAAGAGAAAGTGTCTGTGAACACCCATACAGAAGCAAGTACGTCACAGCCTTCAGTTACTTCTGCACCTCATACCAGTAATAGTCTAACCCAGCCACCTCAGCAACTGGACGCTGCACTGACAACGGACATTAATATGGACACGACGATCCCAGTTCAAACACCAATAAGGTGCCTTCAGATTAATCTGCAACATGCCAAAGCAGCCACGGCACAAGCTGCCGCATATGCCGCAACCGAAGGGGTTGATCTAATATTTGCCCAAGAACCATACTGCTTGAAGGGAAAAGCGGTAGGCTATCCTCTACAATGGACAGTGTACCAAAAAGAAGATGTTAACGATTCACCCCGTGCAATACTGATCAATTGCAACCCAGCGTGGACACCGGTTATCATCACCACAGAAAGAGACTTCGTGGCTATTCTTCTTGAGATGCACAACATAACGGTTCTCTTGGTCTCACTATACTCCCCTC